TCTCTCTCTGGTCTCTCTCTCTGGTCTCTCTCTGGTCTCTCTCTGGTCTCTCTCTGGTCTCTCTCTCTGGTCTCTCTCTCTGGTCTCTCTCTGGTCTCTCTCTGGTCTCTCTCTCTGGTCTCTCTCTCTGGTCTCTCTCTGCTCTCTCTCTGGTCTCTCTCTGGTCTCTCTCTCTGGTCTCTCTCTGGTCTCTCTCTCTCTCTGGTCTCTCTCTGTTCTCTCTCTGGTCTCTCTCTCTGGTCTCTCTCTGCTTTCTCTCTCTGGTCTCTCTCTCTGGTCTCTCTCTGGTCTCTCTCTGGTCTCTCTCTCTGGTCTCTCTCTCTGGTCTCTCTCTGGTCTCTCTCTCTGGTCTCTCTCTGGTCTCTCTCTGCACTCTCTCTCTGGTCTCTCTCTGCACTCTCTCTCTGCTCTCTCTCTCTCTCTCTCTGGTCTCTCTCTCTGGTCTCTCTCTCTGGTCTCTCTCTGGTCTCTCTCTCTGGTCTCTCTCTGGTCTCTCTCTGCTCTCTCTCTGGTCTCTCTCTGGTCTCTCTCTCTGGTCTCTCTCTCTGGTCTCTCTCTGGTCTCTCTCTCTGGTCTCTCTCTCTCTCTCTGGTCTCTCCTCTGGTCTCTCTCTGTCTCTCTCTCTGGTCTCTCTCTCTGGTCTCTCTCTGGTCTCTCTCTCTGGTCTCTCTCTGGTCTCTCTCTGCACTCTCTCTCTGGTCTCTCTCTGGTCTCTCTCTGGTCTCTTTCTCTCTCTCTCTCTGGTCTCTCTCTCTGGTCTCTCTCTGCTCTCTCTCTGGTCTCTCTCTCTGGTCTCTCTCTGGTCTCTCTCTCTGGTCTCTCTCTGGTCTCTCTCTGCTCTCTCTCTCTGCTCTCTCTGGTCTCTCTCTGCTCTCTCTCTCTGGTCTCTCTCTGGTCTCTCTCTGGTCTCTCTCTGCTCTCTCTCTCTGGTCTCTCTCTGGTCTCTCTCTGCTCTCTCTCTGCTCTCTCTCTCTGGTCTCTCTCTGGTCTCTCTCTCTGCAGTGACTGTGACCAGAGGTAGTACAGTACAGTAGTCCTTGTCTCACGGTTGGTCAGAGTACAGTCAGCAGAAGACCCTCCGTGTGCCGCGGCTCCAGTCACAGCCTCACACACAGCTGACTTTCACCGTGGCTCAGAGATAATGGTCGTCAGCTGAATCCTTCATCTGTCCTCTTATCCCCCGCAGACGGTGGGACCATAAAACGCTCTGAAAGATATATTTCCAGGGCGTTCTGCTGTTCCTGGAAAAACTGGCTCCGTCGTCACAGTATTTTTTAAATATTAAATAATTATTTAACACCTGCCTATTTTCACATACACACAGTGAACGGAAACTACTCTACTCTACTCACAACACCATACGACCCTACTCTACCCTACTCAACCCTACTCTACTCTACTCTACTCTACTTGACACGACACCATGCGACCCTACCCTACTCTACTCTACCCTATTCTACCCTACCCTACTCTACTCTACTCTACCCTACCCAACCCTTTTCTACCCTACTCTACTCTACTCTACTCTACCCTATTCTACCCTACTCTACTACTACTCTACTCTACTCTACTCTACTCTACTCTACTCTACTCTACCCTACTCTACCCTACTCTACCCTACTCTACTCTACTCTACTCTACTCTACTCTACTCTACCCTACTCTACTCTACTCTACTCTACTCTACTCTACTCTACCCTACTCTACTCTACTCTACTCTACTCTACCCTACTCTACTCTACTCTACTCTACTTGGCCATTTGGAGCGTTTTCATTGGCTAAATAGTAAACAAGTGTGTCCTTTTTATCCTTCCAAAGAGCAGGACTGAGTCAGATGTATCAAACAAGGTAAATAAGACGCACTAATCTTAAAAAGTGATGAAAATACGAAAAATGTATCTTCATTTTTGCAGATTCTAGTCACAATGTGCTCAGATTACGATAAAAACACATGATTCAGGCGATCATTACCTCATGATGTATCATTCTTTGCAGTGTACTACTACATTAGAGCTATAATTTGGAAAGCCACTGTTATGGTTCGACAGTGTAACGATAAACCGTAAGTAAAACTCCAGATGTGATAAAGTTGTCATTCCGTGTCTTAATGTCCACAGACAGAGTTCTGTGTCGAGTCCAGGGGCTCAAGAGACTTCATGTCATTTCAGTAAAACCTTCTTTCTTCAGCTTCAGAGACTGTTGCTCAGAGCGAGATCCATCACAAGTCTCACCACAGAGACCCTCTGAGTCCTCTCTGCTTCTGATCAGACTTTACCACCGTCTCAATGATCCAAGAATTCATTTATCCAACGATCCTAGCAATTTAACAACATTCAAATTCTTGTCCAGTCTCCCTGGTCTCTCTCTTTGGTGTCTCTCTGGTCTCTCTCTAGTCTTTCTTTCTGTTCTCCCTCTTTTGTCTCTCTCTGGTCTCTCTTTGTGGTTTCTCATTATCTGGTCTCTCTCTCTGGTCTTTCTCTTTGGTCTCTCGCTCTGGTCTCTCTCTTTGGTCTCTCTCTCTGGTCTCTCTGGTATTTCACTCTGCTCTCTCTCTTTGGTCTCTCTCCCTGGTCTCTCCCTCTGATCTTTCTCTGGTCTCTCGCTGGTCTCTCTCTCTGGTCCCTCTCTGGTCTCCCCCTGGTCTCTCTCTCAGGTCTCCCCTTGGTCTCTGTCTCTGGTCTCCCCCTGGTTTATTTCTCTGGTCTCTCCCACTGGTCTCTCTCTGGTCTCTCGCTGGTCTCTCTCTCTGGTCCCTCTCTGGTCTCCCCCTGGTCTCTCTCTCTGGTCTCCCCCTGGTTTATTTCTCTGGTCTCTCCCACTGGTCTCTCTCTGGTCTCATCAGTGACACACAATCCCCAGCCTCTGAGTAAAATCCCAGAGAAACAGCTCTGGTCTCTCTCTGGTCTCTCTGGTCTCTCTCTGGTCTCTCTCTCTGGTGTCCCTCTGGTCTCTCTCTCTGGTGTCCCTCTGGTCTCTCTGGTCTCATCAGTGACACCCGATCCCCAGCCTCTGAGCGTAATCCCAGAGAAACAGAAGTCTGAGTATGTGTCCGCTAATGGCATTAGCTCGTCGCTCACGCCGTATCGCCCGACTGCTTCTCACATCTAAGTGTTTTCTGTAATAGCCTATTTCAGGATTCTCATAAAAGCTCACTGACCCATAACTGGAAACAAAAAGGACTCCGAGCTTAAGGTTAATGCAGCGAGGAGAGATAGAAGCAGAAGTGATGATGGCGAGGAGCGGAGCGAGCCAATCAGAGGCGGACGGATGCTGTGGTTGAAAATGATACGCCGATTATTTCAGGAGGTAGTATTTTCTCCTGTTCCATTTGTGTCACTTGAAGCCAGAATATGTTTCCAGTTATGACTTTTCTGAGACGGCATTTCGATTTCTCCCCGAAAAAGGTGGAAGAGAAACTTTATACACTACTTTCTGGGTCTTGTTAGAGATCTCTGTGAGAGCATATTAAAAGAAGTACCAGTGCATTAAGAGCTTTTTGTTTTGTTCTTCATGTGTTGCTCGTGTAAGTGAGTTCAGTGCTTTCTGTAAGTACAGGCACTTCCTGTATCCGGTGAGCGTGTTTCTTGACTACTATCACTCTGCTCTCTGTTTGCACTAACAAACACATTACAAATCCACGTATTGTACACCAAGCTAACTGTGTAAGCACTCCGAGTCAGCTGTACTGCAGCTGAGGTTTAGGTAGCGGTTGTTTGTCTGGTCTCGGAGTCTGTTGTGCGGGTCCGGATCCGGACTAGCTAAGCCTAGCCTAGCCGCTAACTCGCTACTATGGCGGCTGCTGTCTCTCCCTCAATCCTTTACTGCTCGAGTTGCCATATGGCGAGTCTAAACCCTGGATCC